CGCGTGGGGGGGGTGGGGGGGAGGGGGGGGAGCCGGCAGCGGGTGCGTTTGTGGAGTTGCTACCTGGTCTTAGAGACCGGGAAGCACCACAGACAGATCCCCCTCCGCCGGGGAAGCCCCGTCCTAGGCGCTGGGATGGGGTCCTGTGCCCCTGCCTCTCTCTTTTCTGTTTCGGTTTTTGGGGAAGTTGTTACCTGGGCCGGACGCACGGAGCGCTGAAGCCGGATAATGGGGCTTGGATGGCGCTCGCGGTCTCGGGTGGAAGGAGGTGGGGGAGGGGGCGGACGGACCGACGGACGCGCGGGCGTGCTGCTGTCGCCGCAGCTGCAGTGTTTATTGATTTGTGCCGGTGTGCCAGGGAAACACACACCCCTCTGCCTGGCGTGAGAGTTAAAAGAGACACACAGAGAGAGAGACAGCGAGAGAGATCGAGCCGCGAACATGTGGCGGTGCTTGCACGGTCGCCTTTTCCAGTTTGAAGAGCCGTTGTAAGTTGATTGTGTTTCTGCCGATCGCGGGGCGATCCTGTGCGTTCTCTCCCTCCGGAGCAGCAGCGAAATGTCTGCTGATTGTTATTGTCTGGACAGTTCCTGTGGCGAGAGGGGCGAGACTGGCGCGCCGGGGGCGGCGGGCGCCGAGGTGCCCCCGCCCCGCCGCGCGGTGCCTGTTTGTATAATAATGGGCGGCGACGGCCTGCGCGGGCCGCGGCCCAGGCTATATAAGGAATTACACGCGCGGTGCGGGCCCAGGGCTCGTGTGGGTTCCTGCGTTATTTTTAAAACGAGTTTTCAACAGGGGGGGAATCATTGCGACTGTAACGGGATCGCCGTAGCGTCCAGAAAACGAGGAAATGCCCACGTTTAAGTAACAACTCTCTCGCGCTCCCCCCGCCCCACCCCCAGCGCCCCGGCTCCCTTTCTCCCTCCCCTCCGGGATGCGAAAGGCGAGGTTTTGTAACCTTTCCTGGCAATTTTAGATTTTGTGTGGGATTTCCTGTCTAGAGGCAGATACGAGGATATTTTTTTTCAGCTGTTCCAAGATGTTTCCTTACAGTCGTAAAGATAAATTTTCAATATATTCGAGACGACATTGCAATCCCTGCTTCCAGGAACGATTTTAGCTATTCAAATAAACGTTGCATTTTAGAGACGCCCGTTAGTTGGGATGGAAAGGTGTGTTTGGTATCCTCATTGTGGAGCGATGACTCGTTATAGCGAGGAGCGGAGCATAGGCTGTTGCAATTTTAATTTCCTGTTTTAGCGTCAAATAGTGTGTGTTCTATATTGAGCTGTTGCCGCCGCTGCTGATGTGGCTTTATGAAAGGTAAGTTGGTTCGGGTAGGGTTGGTTTGCCTTTTACCTTATTTAAAATGTTGATCGCCAGAGAAAGGGGCTTTTCTCGTTGCTGACGACATGTGTGTGACATGTGAGTCTGAACCACCCAGCGTCTGTGCAGCTGCTGTAAACATGTTTACCTGAACAGGAAAGAATGGATTTTTCTCCTAAAGACCCCGTGATACGAATATTACACTCCTAAGGCATAGCAACAGATGACTTCAGGGGGAAAAAAGCTCTCCTGAAAGGTACTTGAAATCCACAGGAAAAAGAGGTTCTCTCGATCGCTGCAGCAAATGGCAACTTGTGCAGGTAGAAGAAAGATGGTGTTTAGTTTTCTCCTGCATGGATGTCAGCCCCTCCTGTCTGCTGCTTTCGTTCTCCAGGGAGGGATTTATTTACCACGCTTGCTGTCAGTGTTTTTCCTTTGTGCTTAATATTAGAAAAACAGATTTGGGGCCGTTTAGCACAAAACGTCTTGTCTGCAGTATGCATTACTCTCAGAAAACAAAAGGTGTTTAAGATAGCACTGTACGACTACAGGTATCTTCCATTTTCATCACTTTGGCTCTGTCCTTGTATTTCTTTTTGTTCTCAAATGCATTTCACCCATCGGTGACGATTGCAGGCAAGCTGTTTAATTTAGCATTCTATTTTGTCAATTACAGATGAAGTTATATGCCATTGTGTTGTGAAACCTTGGGTAGGTTCTGGCTGGTATTTCTTAGCAACGCAATCATGTTTAAGTTGCAGATGTTTATTGGAGAGAATTGCCTGGAAAAACGTTAACTCTTAGATCTTTTTAATTAAGAAATAAGTGATATATACACTGGGAGGTAGTCATAGAGATACTTTATGTTGTTATTTATGTGTAAATAATATTTTTTATTAATTTCCAAGTAAGGTATGCCGATTTTCCTGCTAAGCCTTTCAGTAAAACATTTTCATTTCCTTTCTGGAATCTATCTGCAGGGTATTAATGGGGGTATCAAGTCATGTAACTCAACAGAGGTAAACCACCTGGGCAAGGTTTGGCCAAAGTGCTTACCTTGTATGGTAACTTTAGGGTGATAATGCTAGTCATCTATAAAGGAGTGACACAAAAATTGCTTAAATTGATTTCTATCCTTTATGATTTGGTATTATTGTATTTTTTAAAATCTTTTTTTCAATTTCTAAGTGTCTGTGGTTTTCTTCTTTTTTTTTTCTTTTAATGTTCTTTTTGTGGAAAAATTTACTATAGCAACTAATGACCACATGCTGATTAATTCACTTCAGATGGAAGACCAGGTACATATCTTTCTGTCATTAACACCATTTCCCCTTGCTGTCTGTGGAAACCACCAGTAGAGGTTGCTAACAAGAATGCTTATTGGTGTAGTTGTGCATTACTCTGTTTGCTGTGCTGATTGGGACCTGCACTGTAATTCTGAGCCTTATTGTCACTTATAGCTAGCCCTGGTACGTGGGGTATAAGCATTTTCTAGTTTGCTGAGACTAGAAAGAAGTAAAAATGCTTTATTTACCTTGACTAATTCTTATAAACATGATCTTTTTAAATCTTGAATTAAGACTGCTATTGATTCAGTCTTGCTCCTTAAAACAACTTCTTATTTTTTTAGGTTTGGAGAAGAATATATTACGATTGGCCCATGTTTATTTTGCATATTTTCTCTACTTTTTAATCTGCTCTTTTTTGGTTCATAGTAAGATCCCGGGGAGGGGACAGATTTTTAAGTATTTGAAGATATATTTAAGTATCATAAGGAAAATTATAATTAGTTCATCGCAAATACTGTGCAATTATTTTTCCATAACTTACGTAGACTTAGACTGTAGGCGAGTTGGCAGACAATTGCTAAAGGAGGTGTTAACCAGCAATCCCTCAGATGTTACTGAGTTTTAGATTTTATCTTTTCCTTCCTCTTCAAGTCCTTTGTCCTTTTCCTACTGGTGGTCTTTCCCATCCCATCTCTTTAAGAATCTGGTTGTGTATAAATTTTAAGTTGACAATTGTAAATTAAGGAGTAATAAATCTGCTTGGAGGTTTTTAGATGCAGTGAAAAACTACATATTGTGAATTGTTACGTGCTTGTACTCAAAGAGTTTGTTTTCAAAAAACTGTAAATTGAAATAACTTGTACATACAAATAATTGTAGGAGACTTACTGTAGTTGTCTTTTTCTGCCTATATAGTTGTTAATTTAACTGCAAATTTTAAGCCTTTGTAGGTCAAATGTTAGAAGTATTTATTTTCCTAATTATTTTGAACAGTGTTTCTGTAGATGAACCAGTACCTGTATCATAGCAATGGTCAGGTTGTTTATCTTGGACTAAGTAGGTATTACCTGAATTATCAGGTAAGCCTGTGTGAATTTCTCATTGTAGGTATCATGATTCTGAGTACGTGTGTGTGTAAAAACATAGTTTTCCACTTCGTGATAGGTATTGCATTAATTTGATATTTTTCTAATTGCTGAGAGCTCAGTAGCGATTCACTTACTTTTTTTTGAACTGAGGAACTGGACCAGCAGGTCTTGACATACACAATTGTAGAGTGGGACAGAACTTAAGGTCCCTTACAAATCAAAGGGATCAATCACTTGCAAAGATGTAAAAACATTTGAAATAGTTGGTTAACACTTTTATTTTTCTTTCTCTGTTCTCTAGTATTTTTGCAGTACCATCCACTCTTACCTTGTAATTTTGGTGTCTTTGAAGCATGTTGTGAAGAACTTCTATTGAATTGGAAATGATGTTTTTGAAATAACAGCATAATTACTTTTCATAGCTGTGTTTTTATTTTGTTGCACCCCCCCTTCTTGCCTTCCCCTGTGTAAATCACTTCCAAGCACGTGACTGGAGCCAGATGTAAACACAGACGCAGTATAATGTGGAACTATATTGTTACCTACTCTTCCTTGCCTGTATCAAGTTGCAGGAGAGGAGCAAAGTCACAAGAAGTGGGAAGAGATGTGCATTAGCATGCGAGGTGCAGTGCCGGCAGGTCCAAGGCCTCGCTGATACTGCTGGAGTAGTATTCAAGGCTGAAAAAGCTTTCTTGATCTTTGCAGCGTAATTGCTAATTTATAGGGAAATGTGTGTTGTTCATTTCTAAGGGATATAAGCTAAAACGTGCATCGTTGAAAGAAGATTTGAAAAAGTTTTAAACTGCGAAAGTCCCCTGCTTAGGAAAAATGATAAAATATTTTCAAAAGTCTTTTTAAGGGAAAATAATTGTACATAGTGCTAGCACTAGCTAAATAATCAGTGAACCTAGATATAAGCTACAAGAAGAAAATAGGTTGATAGATGTTCATAGAAAAAGTTTTGCAGTAATTCTAGTTAAAATTAAACCTGATCTGGTATGTAGGCGTTCCTGCAGGAAATAACCATATCTTTATATGGGACAGTATTGAGTATTGAAGTTCCAAAAGAAGCATTCTTGGGATATCAGTTTTGCTAAATAAAAATCTTCAGTGTAACGTTAACATGTCTGAATTTTAACCTTCATGTTGGCGTGATACAGTGTTAAATTGAAACCGAGTTGCTTGAAAATATGGCAATACTATTTAAATGGTGAAACACTTTCTAATAAGTGAAATTTTTCTTAAGAGATTTTTCCAGGGGGAAAAATATAATATTTACCACTTCATTACTTTTGCTACAGATATTTTGAGATTTATCCTATGTGTGTAGTTACTGAAAGATTCCTAAAAGAAGAGGGAAAGAAAGCTAAGTTCAAGTGTATATTCGTATTGTAGCCATTAAACCTTATTAGATTCTTTATTTTTTCACTCTGAGAAGTTATTTTTCTCTCGTTCATTTCTTCAGACACCTTCTTGTTATTTAATTCAGGCTTCCTCTGTACACAGGGATTGCATTTGTCGTTTACATCCATATTCACATTTCTCCTTATAGTCAATGTTATGTGTCTATTTAGACTTGATACAGAGTTTGAGGTATGAAGCATGGCTATTCCTAGAAGGCCTTATAGCATGGCCTGGGAAAACAAGTCTTTTTTGCAGCAACAACTACATCTGTGCTGAAATTATTAGTAACAGATGTTTGGTGCTCTCTTAATTCCCACCCCCATTCTTCTTCCCCATCCATCTTTAAAATTGAATGTGAATAGAAGATAAGTCAATTATGTCAATTTATCACATTTATTCTGTGTTCTGTATTGGAAATCTTCTGTTTTCTTTCTTTCTTTCTTTCTGTTTTTTAATTTTTCTTGCCAGAAGGGTTGTGTGTGCACATGCCTGAGGAAGAGAGAGCGAGAGAGCAAGTGAGTGTGCACTACCCAGTGGGGCCTGGTCCATGGTAGTCCTTTCTTCTTTCACATCACCATCCTCTCAGAATCCTGGCTCTGATGAACCTGCCAGACATGTTTTTCAAGCCTCTGGGGCCTGGATTCCACCTGCAGTGGGCCATGTGGCATCCGGCTCCCTGCACATCGCACTCAACCACTGTGGTGCACGGTCAGTAGTCCGATTTCAAAGTTTTAGGTATTTTAAATATTCTTGATTCAATTCTCTTTTTATAAAATAGAGCACCATTATTCGTTAGAAATTAGTTCCTACTCTCTGTCAGCCTGCAATATATTCTAATTTACTTTATTAAGGTCTTTAGTGGACATGTCTAACAGAATACTTGGTCTTTCTTGGTCAAGCAGATAGTGCTCAGAGTGTAAACTAGTTTGCTTATTAAGAAGTTCATAATTTTATTGGAATCATATATCGTTTTTCTTTTCTCCCTTACTTG